TGGTGCTTTGTATTAAATGAATAGTCATGTATTTTGTCAGGCTTGTATTAATGGGTATATAGACTTTTTTGTTTCCTATTTACAGTGTTGTATGCATTCCTGTATGTTTTTTTTTTTTCCAAGATTTTATTCATTTATTTGAGAGAGAGAGAATGAGAGAGAGAGCACATGAGAGGGGGGAGGGCCAGAGGGAGAAGCAGACTCCCCGCCGAGCAGGGAGCCCGACGTGGGACTCGATCCCGGGACTCCAGGATCATGACCCGAGCCAAAGGCAGTCGCTTAACCAACTGAGCCACCCAGGCGCCCAACATTCCTGTATGTTTTTTGTGCACTTGTGTGAATATATTTATAAGATAAAATTTCAAATTTTTTAAAAAGATTTTATTTATTTGAGAGAGAGAGAGAGTGGTGGGGAAGAGCAGAAGGAGAGGGAAGAAGCAGGTTGCCCGCTGAACACGGAGCCTGATGTAGGGCTTGATCCCAGGACCCTGAGATCATGACCCAAGCCAAAGGCAGACACTTAACTAACTGAGCCACCCAGGAGGCCCAAAATTTCAGATTTCTTAGGTGAAAGACTATGCTTTAACAACCTTAATTGACAAATTATCCTCCTTTATCAGCTTAGGCTCTTAGCAGTTTGAGAGCTCCTGGTTTCTACATTTGTGCCAATTGGTTGGTCCTAGTCTGATTTATTAAAAAAAAAAAGTCTTCTCATTTTAAATTTGCCTTTTTTTTTTTTTAAAGATTTTATTTATGTATTTGTCCGGGAGAGAGAGAGAGAGAGCGAGCACACAAGCAGGGGAAGGGAGAAGCAGGCTACCCGCTGAGCAGGGAACCTGATGTGGGACTAGATTCCAGGACCCTGGGATCATGACCTGAGCCGAAGGCAGATGCTTAACTGAGCCACCCAGGCATCCCTAAATTTGCATTTCTTTTATTGATGTTGCAGAGCTGTTTTATATATATTGAACATTTATGTTTTTATCTGTGGACAGTCTGCTCAGTCCTTTTGTCTAGGGGTGGGGGGCAGGTATTCTTTAAAGTTTATTTCCAGGGTGCCTGGGTGGCTCAGTTGGTTAAGTGTCCCTCTTCTGATTTTGACTCAAGTCATGATCTCAGGGTTGTGAGATTAAGCCCTGCATTGCACTCTGTGCTCAGCGGGGAGTCTGCTTGAGATCTTCGCCCCCATCTTTCTAAAATAAATAAATCTTTTAAAAAAAAGTTTATTTCCAAGCATTGTAATTAAGGATGCTAACTTATCCATGTAGGACATTAGGTTGAAAGTGAATTAGCCAAATCATTTGTCTTTTAACATTGTCTGTGGAATTACATGTTTTTTTCTATAGGATTTTGTTTTTTTTTTTTTTTCAGGTTTTTGATTTTTATGTAGTCCAATACCACCTTTTCTCCATGGCTTCTGGGTTTCATGTCCATCTTTAGGAATAACTTTATCCACGTAATTATTCTATTTAATAGCTGCATAGTGGTCTATTTTATTGGTGTATATTTTATTTAAGTTAGCAGTTCTCAAATTTTTGGTCTCATGACCTTTTTATTGAGGACCCCACAGAGCTTTGGTTATGTAGATTTTTATCTATATCCATTTGTATATAAACCTGAGAAAATGTAAAATTATATATTCATTTAGAAAATCCGTTGCATGTTAACATAAATATTTTTTATGAAAAAATATTCAAAAATATAGTGGGAAGAATAGCATTTTTGCATTTTTATAAATCTCTTTAAGTGCCTGACTTAACAGAAGTTAGTGGTATGTATTTCATAGCTGCTTCTGCATTCAGTCTGTGAAGGAGATAAGTTGTTTCATAGGAAGTATAAGAATATATGACCTCATAGAAGTACATGGTTGGAAAAGAATTTTTTAATAGCCTTGTAAGCTAATTATAGATATTCTCCTTTGATAATAGGTTTTTTATAGGTCAGCTGCAATGTAGAATCTGCAACCAATCCATGAACCTTTCCTTCTCTGTTACATTAATATCTATTGGCCTATCTTGCATTTGGCATGGATCTTTTACCCCTGCATGATTTTGCAACACCAATGGTCATTTGGAAAACATTGGTTCAGTGAGTTATGCAGATCTTCTGGATATTGATACTTCTCATTAATGATACAGTATGAAAACCGTAACATTCATTAATATCACTACTAAACTCATCAGAAATGTCTGTAAGTTTGTCTCAGTGGCACATGCAGCCTTTCCAAAATTATGATTTTCTCCTGAAAGCTCACAGATAAGCATCAGGCTTATTCTCCTCATTTTTAAGAAATAACCTGGTTTATCTATCAGTCATGGTTAAAATGGAGTTCTGTGAAAAAAGTGGCTAGTTCACGTCACAGTTCAATTCGTTAAGCATTGATTGTACTTTGGTATGCAGAAATTTTTTTTTGTTGTTTTTGATTTTTTGCAGAATATGAAAAAGATGTACATAGATTGAAATTTAATGAAACCAATAATTACTGCTTCATCAGTGGCATTCTTAGCTGCAACTGACATTGTTACTGTGAGAGGTGGTGAAGGTAAAGGGTACAATGACTGCTAGCACAGTTTGGTCCCATTGTATGGAACTTGCTGAGACACCAGGAGATTTATCCCACCATTGCTTTTGCACCATTAGTACAAATGTCAACACAGTGAAAAAATAATGTCTTAGGATTATTATGAAAATAGTTGTTATCAGAGCTCCTGAAAGGGTCCTGGAGTCCCCTAAGCATTGCGAACCACATTTTGATAACTGGATTTAAATGATCCCTTGTTGAAAGCACATGAGATGTTTCCAAATTTTCCAACATTAAGAACATTCTTGTACAAATTTTTGCCTAATCGTCTAATTATTTTCTTAGGATAGATTTTTATATGTTTAATGGCTGGATGCAGTAAAAAAAAAGAAAAAATTTTATTACCATTTTTAACTGAGGTATAATTGACATATAACATTAGTTTCAGGTATAAAATATGACTCAGTATTTGTATATATTGTGAAATGATCACTATAGTAAGTGTACTTAATATCTGTCACCATATATAGTTATAAAGTTTTTTTTCTTATAATGAGAACTTTTAAGATTTACTCTCTTAGCAACTTTCATATACATAATACATTGTCATTAACAGTAGTCACCATGTTGTATATAGTTAATGACTTATTTATTTTATAACTGGGAGTTTGTTGTACCTTTTGACCCTCTTGACCCCTTTTCACCCAGCTGCTACCTCTGGCAGCCACCACTCTGTTTTCTGTGTCTATGACCTTGGTTTTTTAGTTTGCTTTTGTTTTAAGATTCCCCATTTAAATGAGAACATACGGTATTTGTGTGTCTTTGTCAGTTAGCATATGCCCTCAAGGTCCATCCAATGTCTCAAGTGACAGATTTCTTCCTCTTTTTTTGTGGGTAAATAATATTCCATTGTGTACATACATTTTCTTTATCCATTCATTCATTGATGGGCACTGAGGTTGTTTCCACATCTTGGCTATTGTAAATAATGCTGCATGAACATGAGGGTGGTGCATATATCTTTTTGAGTTAGTGTTTTCATTTTCTTCAGATAAATACCCGGAAGTGGAATTGCTGGATGATATGGTAGTTCTATTTTTAATTTTTTGAGGAAAGGTTTCATTAATTTTGGAAGACCAGAGTATAGTACTTGACCTTATTACATGTGTGTTTAATAATTCCTATGCCTTTGCTTTTTTCTTTTTTGTCCCTGATAGCGGCTTGGCAAATTCACATTATCAAGTGGATGTTGAAATGCATCTTATTTTTATGTCAGATTATCCAAGCATTAATCATGGAGTTATGAAATGTGTATATGTGTTTGGAAACCTGTCTTCAGACAACATTATTCTAAATGAGAAAATGAAATTTCCCTTTTGAGTTACCTTTGGTATCGTAATTCAGATAATAGAATTGTACTAAAGATGTTATCTTGGGATATTTAAGTGTAACTTTGATGTGACCTGAGTTTATCTTCCAGGTATTAGAATAAAACTTTTTTAACAGTTATATATAGATGTATAGAAACTAGTATACATTATTTCTTTTTTTTTTTCAGAGCATATCTGTGATAGCATTACTCAGTGAATCTATTTTGTTATTTTCCAATTTGTGTGCTTGAGTAAACAGAGAATTACATTTCATAGTTGCCCCCCCTTTTTAAGGAGTCTCTTATTTTCTACTCTTGGCTAATACCTTTTCATTTCTCTGAAAATTCAGCTTTCTTGCTCCCTGCTTTCTTTTCTGGTTAAGTGCTTCTGCTGTTTTTCTTAAGTAACTGCTTGATTATCTCTGTCATAGCACTTACCACACTGTAATTGTCTATTACATTTCTGTGAATTACTCTGGGGGATGAGCCTCAATGGGTCTCTAAAGTATAGCAGAGAATCTGTTAGGAAATAGGTACAAAATACATACTTTCTAAATGAAAGAGCGAAAACTACTCATTATTTTCCACTGTAATAGTACCTACCATTTAAAATTATTTTTAAAATAAAATAAATTTTTAATTGTGGTAAAATACACCATAACATAAAATTCACCATCTTAGCCATTTTTTAAGTACGGTTCAGTAGTGTTAAGTACATCCATACTGTTGTGCAACCAGTCTCCAGAACTCTTTTCATCTTGCAAAACTGAAACTCTGTACCCATTAAACAGTTGTCCATTCCCTTTCCTTCTAGTCCCTGCCATTTTACTTTCTGTCTTTATGAATTTGATTACTTTAGATACCTCATACAAGTAGATTCATACTGTTTGTCTTTTTTGATTGGCTTATTTCACTTAATGTCCTTAAGGTTCATCCTCAGACTTTCTTTTTTAAGTCTGACACATATTCCACTGTATGTTTAAACCACATTTTATCTATTCATCTGTCAGTGATGAGATGGGCTGCTTCCTCCCTTTGGCTATTGTGAAGAGTGCTGCTAGGAATGTAAATTAAAAACTACCATGTTTGACACTGACTTTTTACTTTTAGATGGGCACTCTGGTTTTTTAAAAATGATAAAAGCAAAACTTGGCAAGCAAACCTTCGGCTGATCTCTAAGTTTGATACTGTTGAAGACTTTTGGGCGTAAGTAACCATTTTAGGATGTTTGTTTTATTAATTGTGTAATTTTTCATTTTGAGTCACATTCACAAAATGAAGGATAAGGTAAACAACTAATAAATGTGCATCTATAGACCTACCTTTTTGTTCGTCTCCTCACAATTGTTTGAATTGATTATATCTCATCATTTAGAAAGCTTCAGTCTTGTCATCTTTAGCCCTGTGTATATTCTATATTCCTTGTCCTAAGAGATCCTTCTCTTGAGAGTCCTTTCTTGCTTCTAGAACTTTTGACAGTTTGTTGGAACCTATCCCTTTTCTTGGTTGCCTAGATACATTTGCCTAATACTCGGGAGCTTTGTTAGGTTCCCATTTGTGCAAATTCTTTTTGGTATAACACCTGGGATTTCCTGTGATAGGGATCCTGAGATTTTTCAAAGGCTGAAAGGTTTAGCCAAGTATCTGTGATGGTAGTTGATCAACTTAAAGATATTCTTTGAGATTTTGTTTCAGATTTAGCAAAAAGTTACGATTTGGGGGTCAAAACTTTTTTCAAGACGTTTTATAGTATTGATTCTCAAAAAACAATGTTAATTTAATATGTAATTTATTTGAAAAATAATTTTCATTTCAAAGATAAAACTTGTTAAAACATTTTTAAGAGATGTAAATTAGCAGTTACCTAAAAATTCTAATTTGTACATCTAGTATATTTCTGGATCCTATATATGTTGAATCCGTGATGCAACTCTTATGTATTAACATAACCCCTGAGTTTATTTTGCCCACACAAAAGAATAGATTGTCGGAAGATTCATAGATGTATACTTCTTTCAGGGCAGAAACAGTATTCTTCTGTATCTTTGCAGTGCTTTGCTCATAATAGGCATTTAGTATGCATTTGAATCATGGAAAACAAAAAAGCATAGAATAATTAGAGAAAACTCTTAAATTTTAAGCTGCGCACTTTAAGAGTGGCCCCTTTATATTGAAATCATTATCTTTTTTTTAATGGAACTCTATTTAAATCCCCAGTAATTCATAGGCTTATTTGTCTAGTTAAACTAGTGTTGCTGTGTTTTGCCCTTCATCAAAACATCAAGTGATTTTCTTCTTTGATTGTATTTGAGTCCTCTAAACCAAAAAGTCTCCAGTCTCCCATGGAGGAGGAAGAGCAAGAGTCTTGAACCATTTCCCCCACTGAACCAGATCTGCATTTATGTTTGGCTTTTCACCAGTTTACATAATTGGGTTTCTAAGTGGGCCTCTAATTAGAACATGGCCCCAATACTTTAGTTATGAGTAAACAATGTCGTTGCACAGTGGACTTTTACACTTAGACATATGCAGGAATTCTTTAGCTTTCTGTAAATACCTAAGCACTTCTTAATTTCTTTTTTCCTGGCAGATTTAGTGGTAAACAGCTTTTGAGCCCTTTGGGATTTATCCAGTCTTGTCTGTAGTGCTCTGATTCTGTTTAAATGTGTCATTACAAATTCTCATTACTATAAACTTAATAGACCTTAGAGCATCATGAAGGAGAAAGGAGACAGCATAAAGAAGCATTGGTTATTTCTACCTTGAATGCCATTGAAGAAAGCATTTCCACCCTGTCCATTAATTTCATAAAGTGGTAGTGCTAATTCTGTAGTTACTGTTACTACCCAGGCCTCTTTTGTTGCCTAATGGAAGCTGCCAGTGATAATGTAGTTTGGAAAGAGTGACCATTGAGTAACTCTACAGATCTTATTCAGCCTTAGGCTACCTTCCCCTAAATTGGATTGATATGTCATCCTATGGAATGTGATCCAAAGGATTCCAGAATCTTTCTTAAAACTCAAAGTATTTCTGGACTGGGTTAAAATAGCATCAAGAGAATCTGACTAAGGATAGTAGCATTGGCCATGGTCTACAGATGTAGTAAAGATCATGTTTCTGCAACTAATACTGGAGACAAGCAAAGCATTCTTATTCTGTTGCCAATTTTATAATTTTGCAAGAAGAAACTTTAGGAGATCAAATGATTTAGCCTTCTACCTTCAGGCTAGTGAATATCTAAGTCATCCCAAGTGTTATTCTGTTAATTTGGGGGAAAGTTTAGAAATACAGATTCCAGGGTTCCACACTATCTATAAAGGGATTAAAATCACAAGGAGTAGGGCCTGGGGTGTTTTTTTTGCTTGCTCGCTTGTTTTTTCCAAAGCTTTCCAAATGATTGCTATGCTGACTGACTAGTAATGACTGCAGTATTTGAGACCCATTGATCTGTTCTAGGATACCTTCAAGGATATTAGTGTTGTCTTTTAGTCATGCAGGCCTGACTTTCCCTTGATTTGTTTTTTTGTGTGTTTAAAACTGCTCATTAGCCTCATGAATTCTTTCATGCACTTAAAGCCGCCTCATAGCTCCTATTATCAGTTTCTTATATATATATATGTATGCACTGAGTTAACTAATATATCAAAATATACTTTTGTCAGAATAAAATCATTAAAAATACTTTCTTGAAAATCATCAAATGCTGATTCTTGAACTGACCATTATTAAGATAGCTGTTTGGTCCATTACAGAAATTGACTCAGTAGACAAACAAGTAAACATGAACTTTTATCTTTTTATTTTTATCATGTTCTTTAAATATATATGTTAAGTACCTAAACTCTGCATTACATATTCTATGTTTATAATTGTCCTTTTCTTTTACCTAGTCTGTACAACCACATCCAGTTGTCTAGTAATTTAATGCCAGGCTGTGACTACTCACTTTTTAAGGTATGCTTAACTGGTGATTTCATATATTTATTATAAGACTGGACCGTTCAGTTACTTATTAAGAAATCTTGTCAGAAACTTAGGAATAGTTAATGCTCTGAGGTTTGGAGAATAATTAAATTAGTTTTACTGGGCTTTAGCATAACAAATTTTACCCTATTGCTAAAAATAATTGAGAATGAGAGTCTTACTCTGTGGGCACACACTGTGATTGATTTTTGAAGAGAGCTTTGATCATCCAGTCCAGTCTCTCTCATACATTTGAGTAGACTGAAGTCTAGAGTTTGTCAGGAATTCTTAACCTGGGATGCATTGGTCTTTGGGATATTTATGTTTATAAATGGGTTTGTCAAGTGGTAGGGGGTAGGGCATTCATTAACTCTGAAATTGCATAATTTTTGCATATATTTTCTAGATATCAAAATGTATGTAGCTTCTCAAGGGTATCTGTTTCTCAGTGTTTAAGAACCTCAAATTAAAGGAAACCCAAGGGTTTGATAGCTAATAAATATCTGTCAGGACTCTAATTCTGCAGTCCTATGCCTCTGGCTTTAATCCCCACTACATCAATAACAGCTTTATGGAGAATAAAATAAGAAGTTGATAGAGTTGTTGCTTCCTCTTTCTAGTGATCTCCCCAATTAAAGTAACAATTTTGTCTAATATTATTACCTACTAACCTTGTAGGATGGTATTGAGCCTATGTGGGAAGATGAGAAAAACAAACGAGGAGGACGATGGCTAATTACATTGAACAAGCAGCAGAGACGAAGTGACCTGGATCGCTTTTGGCTAGAGACAGTAAGGTTTTAAAATTACAAAGCAGTTTTGGAATACTAAAACTTAATTTGGATTACATTTTACATTGGTTACTTAATTCAAGAGATAAGGATGCCCACCCTACAAAATCTAAGTCAGCAATTTTGTTCTGTCATGTGAATACCCCATCTTTTACATACTGGTACAGTGAAACCCCATACCATAGTACAAATCAGATAAAAAGTGATTGGTAGTTGACTCTCATCTTCCATGAGAGAGCTCATCCTGGTCATTTCATTAACTTCAAAATTACAGAACCTCGTGTTTTGTATGATGTAAGTTTTTACAGCCCTCTTAGAGTATTACTTTGTATACTAAAATTTTTAGATCAGTGAAGCAAACAATGAAATTGTAACTTGATATTATTAACCTTATATATTGTGATATAACCTGGAACTTTTGGAACTTTTGGCTTTATAAAACATATATTAAATATGAGGTAACTGTCATTTTCTCTAGGGAGAAGTTCTAAACCCCAAGGTATTAGAAGTAGGGATAATAGTCTTTTTTGGATTCTTGGCACTTGTCACAGTGTCTCATTTATAGTTAGCACTTACTAAGTTAAGCAGTTAGTATTTGAATGAATGTTGTTTAGGTTTTTTTTTCTTTTTTAAATGAAGGGACTTAATTTTGTTTTGGGGGAGATTATCAGTAAATACATTTTAGCATTCCACTTCAAAAAGTCATTTCAGTTTTGTAAGATGACAAAAGTTCTGGAGATGGATGGTTGTGATAGTTATACAATGTTGTCAATATACTTAATGCCACTGAACCATACCCTTAAAAATGGTTAAAGTGATTTAATGGCCTGTGTTGTCTATACTCAAAATTTTTTTATGGTCAAAATGGGTAAAATTTATGTATGTTTGCCACAATAAAAAAAAATTTGTGTTCATGAAAAACAGCAAGAACAAGAGGCAGCATGAGCAACTATTCAGTTATTCCATTAATATTTGCTGGCAAGTAGAAGCAGCAGCAGAACAGATGAATATTAAGATGATTTGCCTTTTATATTTGCCCTGACATCAATTCCCCATTTGCTAAAAAAGCTAAAACAACTGTTAATGTTCTTGATATTAAACAAAGAAACAAATGAATTTTTAAAAAGTCAGGACAAAGAACTATATACATAAATATAAATTAGACATTCAGAAAGTCAACTTTTGATTTAAAAGCTGTTTCAGTTTTGTATGTATGCAAATATAAGAGACATTTGTAGTTCAATAAGCAGTGTATAATTTATTTCATGTAATTTGGGATTGAATTTTTTTTTTAAAGCTGCTGTGCCTTATTGGAGAATCTTTTGATGACTACAGTGATGATGTATGTGGAGCTGTTGTTAATGTTAGAACTAAAGGTGATAAGATAGCAATATGGACTACTGAATGTGAAAACAGAGAGGCTGTTACACATATAGGGTAAGTTTTGCTGTTTGTATACTTCCTTTAAAATATTAAGATAAGAAAATAAAATATTAAGATAACTAAAAGCAGAAGTACTGTTATTTATAGCTTTAAAAATACTTGGATTTGTAGATTATTATTTTCCTTGTAATGTTTTCATGAAAACTTATAATACTTAACTGTTCTGTTGGTTTTCATTTTCTTGTTCTTTTTTTTTTTTTTTTAATTTCTGTAAAATTTCTTTTCCCTCACAATGGAGTATATAATCAATCACCAGAGCACTCTATTTTGGCATGTAACATTTTATTCATTTATCATATGACAATATTGTCTTTTTTCTACTTTAAAATCATAACATTAATAATATAATACTCTTAGTAGTTCAGTGAGTGTTGGCAAATAGTATATGTGTATTCTGTGCACATGTGGGTACACTGTACATAAAATTTTTAGTGACATATCTTAGTTCTGTCCGTATTTTTAAAACCCACATGTGTATGTTTTTAAATTTTTGTGTGTGTGAATATTATTCCTTGCAAAAATTGCCTATCATTCCCATCCCCTCCCCACCCCATACATTGGTCATTGTTAACTGGGATCTTCTTTTTATTACATTTAAATTAGTAAAATTTGACTTTAAATTTTGTGTTAAAATTAAGTATTGCTCATCAGTCACAAAATGTTTGATTTGCCCTTTGTGATTTTTTTCAAACATTATGAATTCTCCTTTAGTCCTTTCTGGACCAAAAGGTATGGAAATTCTCCAGGTTTCATGCTACAGAGGTTTTCTCTAAAAGAGAAGCTGACTGTTGATTTGTGGTCGTATTCTAATCTTTCTGTCAGCATCAAAACTTATTAGTTGTGGGGATTTCATATTTGAAAACAGTTTAAAAATAAGTGTGAATTTCTTTCCTCTGAAAATCTTGTATTTGTGTCAGTATTAAAAATTATTGAAATCTTTGTGAAATATTTGACTTCAGTTTTTCAAGGGAGGGTTTCTTTCTTTTTTTTTAACCCTTCCAAGTTACATGGCTCAGTGCTCTGGCTTTCTGGCATTTTTAGTGGTTAAGTATAATGGAAGGGAATACATGGTATCATAATATAAATCTGATAATAGTTATTTTAGTTATAAAATTATTTTTAGAAACTTTATTTGAAGGAAGGTAGTAGAATCTTCTGGAAGGTGGACTATGGATAAAACTGTCCTGGTATCATATTGAAGAATTTAGCTCCAATATGTATAAATGTATATCTCTTTATTTTGGTGTTTATTTTTGAAGTGTTGCTATTTTTTCTTGAGAATAAATGTCTGGATTCCTACTTTACCTGTGATGCTATGATCTGTCCCCAATTTTACTTTGTCATCCTTTTTGCTCATACTCCTTTTCCTTATGAGCTGTAGCCACATAGCCTTATATTGTTCCCCAGCCTTCAGATGTGCTTCTTTCTCTCAGCATCTTACTTTTAACCTCATGACTTTTAAAGGGGAGATTTCTCTGATTTCACAGACAAGATTAGATCATCCTTGTTACACAACGTCACAGCCCCTATACTTACCCACTTGGACACTCATCATAGTTTGTTCTTAAAATAGAGTCAAATGTTATTTGAAAATTAGGTTGCAGAGTTAGTATATAAAGCAGAAATCATGTTTGTTCTAAATTACTCTGAAAATACCATAAAGTAATAATTACAGTAAATGTAATTTGCAGTAATAGACAATATTTATTATGGTTTATATGTAAAATTTAGCATTTTATATCAGAAAATTAAAGTAGACATGTAGACAATTTATTTTGTATAAATGAGTTATACATGTGATACAGCTCCAGTATATGTATTTGTGATTATTTGTTTATAAATAATCAAATACTATAAACACCCAGGGACCGTCCATGCTTTGCTTATTATTGATTTATTAGTAATTACTCAGTACCTGATAACATAGTAGAGTCTAAATACTGGTTTAATGATTAACTGAGATTGTTGTGAAAAATGAAGAGTAAATTTTGCTAAAAGGAAAAGGATGTACAATTTCCTATTTCACTCTCTGGACTTTTTAATGTAACAGAACAGTAATATCAAATTTGGTGTGTGTGATAAAAATTAATGGCTACTGTTTTTCTTTTTCTTCTTCTAGGAGGGTATACAAGGAAAGGTTAGGACTTCCTCCAAAGATAGTGATTGGTTATCAGTCCCATGCAGACACAGCTACTAAGAGCGGCTCCACCACTAAAAATAGGTTTGTTGTTTAAGAAGACACCTTCTGAGTATTCTCATAGGAGACTGCGTCAAGCAATCGAGATTTGGGAGCTGAACCAAAGCCTCTTCAAAAGCAGAGTGGACTGCATTTAAATTTGATTTCCATCTAAATGTTGCTAAGATATAAGAGAAGTCTCATTCGCCTTTGTCTTGTACTTCTGTGTTCATGTTTTTTGTTTTTTTAATTTTGGCTAGAGTGTCCACTATCCCAATCAGAGAATTACAGTACACATCATCCCCAGAATCCATAAATGTGTTCCTGGCCCACTCTGTAATAGCTTAGTAGAATTACCATTACAAACACATCTTACCCATCCACAATATTCAAAAAAGAACTTGCGTTTCTATACCTTACAGGAAAAAAATTCTGTTTATGTTCCATTGTATGCAGGAGCATATTTTGCTGGTTTGAAAGAGTATGAAGCATACAGTTTTCTAGCAATTTTCTTTCTTTCCTTTTACAGCATTGTCTTTGCTGTACTCTTGCTGATGGCTGCTAGATTTTAATTTATTTGTTTCCCTACTTGATAACATTAGTGATTCTGATTTCAGTTTTTCATTTGTTTTGCTTTTGTTTTTTTCCTCATGTAACATTGGTGAAGGATCCAGGAATATGACACAAAGGTGGAATAAACATTAATTTTGTGCATTCTTTGGTAATATTTTTGGTTTTTTGTAACTACAAAGCTTTGCTACAAATTTATGCATTTCATTCAAATCAGTGATCTATGTTTGTGTGATTTCCTAAACATAATTGTGGATTATAAAAAATGTAACATCATAATTACATTCCTAATTAGAATTAGTATGTCTGTTTTTGTATCTTTATGCTGTATTTTAACACTTTGTATTACTTAGGTTATTTTGCTTTGGTTAAAAAATGGCTCAAGTAGAAAAGCGGTCCCATTCATATTAAGACAGTGTACAAAACTGTAAATAAAATGTGTACAGTGAATTGTCTTTTAGACAACTAGATTTGTCCTTTTATTTCTCCATCTCTATAGAAGGAATTTGTACCTCTTATTGCCAGGCAGTCTCTATTGTGTCTTCTTGTAGTGTCTACCACGTGAACAGCATAAGTTTGGAGCACTAGTTTGATTATTATGTTTATTACAAATTTTAATAAATTGAATAGGTAGCACCATATATATGGAATTAAATTGATGTGGCTATCTTTGTTTTTTATACAGGAAGGAACAGTCCTTCGGTCTTAGGTAAATAATGTACTCTTAATGTGGTAGAACTCCAGAGAGTTGTTATCTTGGTGCGTTACCATTTGATTGGTAGGAATGGTAGTTGTAAAACTTCGTTGCTGAATTGAGATGTTCTTTTCTAAGTGTCAACATGATAGCATAGGGAAAGAGTTCAGGTTGTGGGGGCATATTCATTAGGAATTTTGTTAGTGTTACTGTCTAAATAGAATGGAATAAATAGGTATGAAGACATTTATATTGGTAAATTGGTATAGTATGGTTTTATGTAAATTTGAAAACTTGATCTACTCTTTGTAGGCATTTGAAAGCACATGTGAAAAACTTTGTATATAATAATTGTGTGTTTCAGATGAGAGAAAATGAAATATGGCTATTATAGACAAAAGGGGAAGCTGGACTTATAGATAGAATGAAAATCATTAAATAAGAGGAAAATTTGTCTTTAAATGGTGATTATGAATTAATTTAAAAACTGGTAAGTTTGACAAAAATCCTATATAAAGTAAACATGAAATTAATAGTATTGATTTCATTGAAGAATTTTAAAACCGTTTAAAGGGTGCCACAGGCTACCTACCATCTGAGTACTCTCAATACCACAAACACCTCTTGTTCAGTATTCTAGAAATACTGAATCTTTTGTGTTTATAATCTCAATAGACTGTACCTGATACCTGCTTTTTAAACTTGGGTGATTGGATAAGGTGATTTATTGTCTGTTGATATGTGTAGTTGTGAGCACTACAAGAGCTGCTTGTAAGTGATGGTGGTGGTGGTGTGTTGGCAATGGGTGGGATTGGAGTAGTATATCTATTAGAAATCAGTGCTCTATTTCCTTAATTCTAAGATGTAGTCCATTTTAAGAAGCATCGGCTTTCAGGAGTGGAGGGAGGAATAATTAAATGTACACATTTCTAAATTTTTTTAAAAACCTGATTTATAATATGCATTTGATTATCCTTATTATTACTATTTTAGAATCATAATCAGTTTTATTTTAAGTCTTTTCCCAGTGGGTGGGGAGAATGATAAATTACTGAGTCACTTTTGGCAGATGCTACATAAGTATTACAGTGACTTGCAACTTTTCATAACTTCATTAGCATCTTTTCTAAATATACGATTAGACTGTACATGATTTTCTATCTTTTTTCTCCCTGTCCAATAGGAGATTATAAATAAATATATTTTCATAATAGAGAATTGAAATCTTTTAATAGAAGAATTGTAATTAATTGTAGGGATGTGACATATTTAACCAATTTAATTGTTAATCCAGTTCTAGAGAAGGATTTGAGACATACTGTGTAAGAATTAAATAATTACAATACTTATATAGTACTTATTATGTGGCAGGCAGTGTTCCAAGCACTTTACATGCACTTTAACTTGCACAATTATCCTTTGATGTAGGTGCTGTTATTCCCATTTTATAGATGAAACAGAAGCAGTGAGTATGTAAGTTACTTTACAGCTTGTAAGTTGCAAAATGGATTTGGTTCCAGAGACCCTATAATTACATTATACTCTCTCAGTAGTGTAGAGCCTATCTTACAGGCTATAGTAAATCACATCAGATTGTAGTCATTGTATAGGCCAGGCATTTTACTTTCATTTTACTTCCTTTGGTAATGGAACTTAAAATAGGCCCCCGAGGCTCACCCTGTTAGCAATCAGCTAATCATTTGGGGGAGTTTTGAGAACAAGGAAACAAAGATAACAGGAGTTTATAGATACATGAGTTACATAGTTAATACAAGTTAAGCAGATATTTTCATATACAGCTTTAAGTGTCTATATCCTGTTATCTTCTAAAATAAATGGTAAAATAAAGCAAAATTTTCAAGTTGATAGGAGTCAACATTCTTAAATGCTGTAGCTTGCATTTAAAAGGATAATTTTAATTTTCTAAGGTAGTATGATAATGCAATGTTTTACATTTTAAAATTAAAACGAGTTAATGACAAGTCTCTATGCTACTTTTTATCTCTGATTGTTAGGGGTTGTCTTCATTATTTAGTGGAGGTGGGGGGGGAACAACTAAATTTTCTCACTCAGAGTCAGACTCTAGATGAATGCAAGATTTTAGGTCAGATTGACATTAGAAAACAAAATGCTAGGTCATTGTTATCTCTGGACCAGTGTAGAAATTGAGAATGTCTACATTCTATAGCAGTTTGATATTACTGTCACATTAAAATATATGATCAGTAATTTTTCTAGTAATTTTTGAAAATATATTTTAAAAAAGTATGTTTTTGACAGAGTGCAATTTAAGGGTTAAAACTGGTCCTTCACATATAATTTGAGAAACACTACTCTTAGGTAGTTTTCCTCAGGCGCCAAGACCTCTCATTTGCCCGTCCTTCGCTGAAACAACTAGGTTTGTTATTTCTCTATGCCTCATCTCCTCACAACTACTGGACTTGGTGTCAAAATTTCAGTCCTGAACTGTAACATCTTTAATACTGTGTGGTATCCTGCTTACTGTGAATTCCAAAGTAGACATCAGACAGCCTTCCTAGTACTTTGAGTAGTTCAGATTTTAATGTTGCTGTTTCTATTCCATTGCTAGAAGCCAGAAATGAAATTGCAGTCATGCGGTCACATGTGGTACTATGGTTTTTTTTTTAATTCAGAGGAACAAATTTTCACTTTATTTTTTAAATTTTATTTATTTATTTGACAGAGAGGGTGAGAGAGGGAACAAGCAGGGGGAGTGGGAGAGGGAGAAGCAGGCTTCCCGCTGAGCAGGGAGCCCAATGTGGGGCTCGATCCCGGGACCCCGGGATCATGACCTGAGCCAGAGGCAGATGCTTAACGACTGAGCCACCCAGGTGCCCCCAATTTTCACATTTTAATTTTGTCCCGTTTTTTTTTAATTCAGAACTTGTAATGCCTCATAGTTTTTCACAGAGGTTCTGTTCCTACCTTTCATACCCCCCCAAAAATATGTATTGAATACTTATATTTATTATGTTCTCGGTAATGGGCATACAGCAGAAAATAGAATGAATAGAATAAAAAGCCCCTGCTGTAAACTTTTAAAAGCAGACATGTCTTAAAAATAAATCCATAAAGTTCTGCAGTTTCTGTTATTGAAATAGAACTCCTTGCGTCTCTATTACTAGGAATTAATCTGAAGGTACATATAAAATAAGGCGGTTTAACATTGAATGAACAGATCACACTATATAGGAAGACTGGACTAAACCCTCACATGCGAATTACAACTTTTGAAAGATGTAATTTTTACTTTATATTACTGAAGTCTGTAAGATTGTCCAAGAGAAATTTAGTAGTTCTTTTCTGGTTATGTTGATTGTACTTTTTAAAAATTACAACTTTCATTTAACATACTGAGTATGGTGAAACATTTTAAATGTCTACATTGGTGTGGTTTTATAGAGAGCAGTCCTATAGTTACCTTCCCAAAATACTGATAATGTTTTTTCCTTTAATGTTTGACCAAACATAATGCATGCTTATTTTATTTTCACTACAGAAAGGTAGAAGGTAAAAATTTCCTCTCTCATTCAGTCCCACTCTTCTTTTTCAAGGTATCACTCACATCTATTGTAAATGTCTGGATTTTCTGTGCACACACCATATAACATGTGTGTGCATGTGTGTGTAACTTTGGACACAAATCATTTTGCTGGCGTTTTCTCATTTAGTAATTTTGGACATTTTTACCTGTCATTGCGCACATAGAACATTATTTTTGTTCATGGTCTAGTGATCCGTTGTATGAATGTGTGCTCTGTTGGAGGACTGCCTGCCTGCTTTCCTGGTCATTTTTGCCTTTATAGTCCCCTGTGTAAATTTTAGTCTTACCTTTGTATACTGGAGTTTTTTGGGTTTGGGTAAAGGAAATAGTTTTCTGTTCTTTAGCAGTGACACTTACTCTCTACCCCTTCCCCATCCAGACTGTTCTAATCCACATACATGAATCATCATCAGTTCTGTAACTGTTCTATAGTGCTCCTTTGCAAGTTTTGCAGTTTTGGGCCTTGTGATACTTTTTTAATTGGTTTTTAATTGCCTTACTTTCTTCTCATGAGCCAACATTGTTATAAATACAAGTCATAAATAGTTTCTTTGCTAGATTGTATGTTTTCCCAAAGACAAGCAATAAGACCTATTATATTTTAGGCCTGTAACATTGAAAAAGCTTGAATCAAATACATTGATATTGGACCCTGTTTTATTTTTAAGCAGTGTAATGAACTTATTAACTTCATAATTTTTGAAATGAGAGCATTTCCCAAACACATCTATATATTGTCAAAACCATTTCCCTTGGCATTTGGTTTTGTTTTTAAGGGTATTAATTTTTTGCTTTATT